AAAAAAAAAAAAAGAATTGAGCAGTTTTCCTTTTAAAAATCCAACAATGCAAGCTAACTATCTTCATTTGGAGAAAAAATCCTCAGGCAACACAAACACGTTCTATTTTGCCTCCCTTAGTCTAATAATTCTTTTTAATGCTAAAGACAGTAGAGCAAGTGTACTAGATAATTTCAGATTAGATTAAATTCAAGAAAACAGAGGTTAGGGGTTCATCTAAATAAAGAATGTTTTCATATCTTCTTACCATTTCTGCTAGCAGCACCTCAATTAACTCAGTACTAGATTATTGCACTTACGGCTTTATGGCATTTCCAAATACTATCTTGCAAAGCCTCTTTCACCTGCATCTCTCATCTAGGAGTAATCTTGCCTTTTACTCTTCCACAAATAACAGAATATTGATTTGATGAGGCTTGTTTAAGAAAAATGCACTGGGCTGGCAGTGTAGTGGTTCATGCCAGTAATCCTAGCACTCTGGGAGGCCAGGGAGGGGGACTGCCTGAGCTCAGGAATTCAAAACCAGCCTAAGCCAGAGAGAAACCTTGACTCTAAAAAAACAGCCGGTCATTGTGGCAGATGCCTGTAGTTGAGGTACTTGGGAGGCTGAGGCAAAAGAATCACTTTAAGCCTAGGAGTTTGAGTTTGCTGTGAGCTGTTATGGCATAGCACTCTACCGAGGGTAACAAAGTCAGACTCTGTCTCAAAAAAAAAAAGAAAAAGAAAAATGCACTGATTAGACCATGGGCCTATTTACTCTCCCCTACCGCGCCTCTGGACTCTCCTCCTCCAAGGCCCAACCTGCAGGCACAAGGAAGGCACTTACAGCTGGGGATGTTTTTCCTTTGTCTCTACCCCACTTACTCACCAGCTTCTCTCAATACTCAGGTGATAACGTATTTGCACCCCTTACTATTATGAAAAAGACTGGACACAGTCTGTAAGAATGAAAATCACCAAAAATACCATTTTTGTTTGCAAGATTTTACAATGCCAAGTTACAGAGTTCTGCCAAGATTTCTTCTTGGGGAATACTAATTTGTCATCCCAAATGCCAATTACTTCTGACATCAGGTGAACTCTAGATTATATTATAACCCTATGGGGTTTATCATTTAACTGTATTCATTCATGAAGCAGAATAATTAATGATTTTAACTATAACAAGAATGAAGTCTGACCGTGTACACTGGCAAATATATGCATACTTTGGGTTTTTTTAGTTATCTTTAATTTTTATCATTTGTAGAAACAGGGTCTCCTTTATGTTGCCCAGGCTGGTCTCAAATTCTTGGCCTGAAGTAATCCTTTCCCTTTGACCTTCCAAAATCCTGGGATTACAAACTTAATTTGTGGCCCTAGGCCAAGAATTCCAGCCAACCCAGGCAATTTAGGGAGAATCTTTTCTCCACAAAAAAAATTTTGTTTTAATTAAAGCTTAAAAGTAAGGTCAGAGACTACCATTCAAACAAACAATCCAAAAATCAGATTACCTCTTCCTAATTAACTGTCAGTCTCCCTAACCAGAATTTAAATTATTCTTAACTAGTCCCAAAGTGTAACAAAGGCAACGCCAGGCCTCCTCTTCCCAGTACTTATAAGAGCACATCTGATAGCAAGACTCAAACCTCACATCCTACATTTGGCCCCACTCTAACTTCACCTGATCCTACCACCTGACCAGCAAACCAGACTATCTCATTACCTAAAAACCTGCTATGGAGGCTCAGCACCTGTGGCTGAAGTGGCTAAGGAAGGTGCCAGTCACATACACCTAAGGCGATGGGTTCAAATCCAGCCCAGGCCTGCCAAACAACAATGATGGCTGCAACCAAAAAATAACCGGGCATTGTGGCTGGCACCTGTAGTCCCAACTACTTGGGAGGCTGAGGCAAGAGACTCGCTTAAGCCTAGGAGTTGGAGGTTGCTGTGAGCTGTAATGTCATAGCACTCTACCCAGGGGGACAGTTTGAGGCTCTGTCTCAAAAAAAAAAAAAAACCCTGCTATGGAAAAAAAAATCTGATAACCAGATAAGAAATCAAATAAAAACACTCATTTCAAGGAGAGAGTAGTTTTTTTTTTGTTTGTTTGTTTTTTAGACGGAGCCTCAAGCTATCCCCCTGGGTAGAGTGCCCTGGCATTACAGCTCACAGCAACCTCCAACTCCTGGGCTCAAGCAAGTCTCCTGCCTCAGCCTCCCAAGCAGCTGGGACTATAGGCGCCCGCCACAACGCCTGGTCATTTTTTAGTTGCAGCCATCGTTGTTTGGCAGGCCCGGGCTGGGGATTTGAACCCGCCACCTTAGGTATATGTGGCTGGCGCCTTAGCCATTTGAGCCACAGGCGCCGAGCCAGTAGATAGAGAGTTAAGGAAAAATCTCATACATGAATAAATCACTTAGAAATAAAACCAAGAAAAAGAAATCCCTCATTAATTTTTATGAAATGTTCAGGAAATAACATATCATGTAGCAGGCAAACATATTAGGACTGTTTCTTCAATAAATCATAGCAGTTAACCTTTAATTTCACATACCTGCAAAAACAATCTTTGCTTTGTATTTCTGAATTCCCTTCACGGAATAGCCCCACCTCCGAGCTAGTTTGCAGGCAGTCTCTCCAGCCTCTACTCCTATGTGGGGGAAAATTTTCAGATTTAAAAAATGTTTCATATTAATCAGAAAATAAAAAGATTATTTTCTTGGGTATGTAACAGAAAAGGAAATGCTTTACCTGTATTCATAGGAAGAACTTTGTGGTAGTTGAAAAGTTTAGTAATGTACTCCTCATATTCACCAAGTACATTATTATAAAAAGCCCTAGATGTTAAAGTCAATTTGTCCACTTGACTCTTTAAAGCGTTCACAATCTTTGGATGACAATGCCCTTGGTTAACAGCACTATAAGAACTCAGGAAGTCAAAATATTTTCTGCCTTCTACGTCCCATAGGTAAATACCTAAAATATATAAGGAAAGAAAATAATGTTAGAAAATTACCGTATGACATAAAGTCCAAAGCTTAGGACTGTTAGCCAGCCTTCTGAATGCCTATATAGGAACTTCTACTTGATACATACTTATAGTTAAAGCTTGTTTTAGCTCAGGCATAATAAACTTTGGTATATAAAGAATATTAAGAATTATATCTGTCCAGCTTCAAAATACACATTTAATAAAAATAACACAAAAATGTTATAAACTCTGGAGTAAAACTTTTATATAATTCTAAATATTTAGGAGATATAATTTAAAAGCCAGATTAGTTACACACAACAGACAAAAATCACGAGTAGTTGACTATAACAACCCATGGGATGGGGGAAAATAATTGAAATCATGTATCTGGTAAGGATCTAGTATCTAGAACTCGTCCAATTCAACAAAGACAAATAACCCAATTAAAAAACAGGAAAAGGCTGGAATAGATCCTTGTCTGAAGAGGATACATTCAAATCATTAAGCAGCACATGAAAAGCCCCTCAAGTTCACTAGGTGTTAAGAAAATGCAAATCAAAACCACAATGAGATACCATCTCACACTCCCTATGATGGTTATAATTAAAACAAAACAACTTAAGTTTTGGTGGCACCGGTGGCTCAAAAGGGTAGGGCGCCAGCCCCATATACTGGAGGTGGTGGGTTCAAATCCAGCTCCGGCAAAAAAAAAAAAAACTTAAGTTTTGGCAAGGATGTGAAAAAATTTGCTAGTGGGTATGTAAAATGATTCTGCCACTGTTTCTTCGGCAGTTTCTTAACAAGTTCAACATATATTACCCTATGACTCAGTGACTCAGCAATTCTACCCATAGTTATACCCCAAAAGAATTTCAGAGGCTCAAGCTGATAGGAGTTCGTGCACATTTCTAGCAGCATTATTCGCAAAAGTTTCAACAGGGGAAACAACCCAAATGTCATCAACTGATGAGTGGTAAACAAAATGTGCTCTCTCTCTATGATAGCCATAAAAAGGAGGGAAGTCCTAACACAGGCTACATCAATAAATGAATCCTGAAAACATTAGGATAAGTTAAAGAAGCCAGACACAAATTATTTGAATCCATTTATATGAATTTATAAGCAAAACCTTATAAAAAAATTTAAAGAAATTAGCTGGGTATGGTAGCTGTAAGTCCTAGCTACTCCAGAGGCTGAGTCACTGTAACCTCAAACTGAGCCCAGGAGTTTGAGGTTACAGTGAACTATGATTGTGCCACTGCACTCTACGCTGGGCAACAGAATAAGGTCCAGTCTCTATCAGAAATAAAAAAAAGAAGAAGAAATGTCCATATTACAGTATTAGGCCCAAATAAATTACAGATTAATGACTGTGTAAGATAAATACTCTTATATGTGAATTCTCATCTTCTAGCATAAAGCTAAATAATAAACTTTAGTTTCATTTGATTACGGCTGTTATTTCAAATTACAGATTTGATTAAATCACTACTTGGCAACTATCATACTTATTCAAGCAAGAATCATTAATGGATGCTAAAACTGTGAGTAGAAATTCCATGTCTAACAGACTATTTGCAGAGTTTTACATTCTGTTGCCACAAGATACTTAACACAAAATGGAAAACAGCAACTCTGCAATGGAGAGGCCTGGCAGGTACAACCTTACCAGCCTATGGAAGTTACCATCAGCAGCACAGAATGGAATGGACAGACAGGTCTCCTGAGGTAAGGCACAATAACTTAATTCTGGCCATGAGGAAATAATTGCCAACCCCAAACTGAGGTGAATTCTACAAAATTATGGACCTATAGGTTCAAAAATTTCAAGGTTGAAAAGACAAAAGAAAGCTCTTATCAAAGCATGCAACTCACAATCTAAGGCCTTATATTGTTAAAAAAAAAAAAAAAAAAGAAGAAAATACTGGGCTGTGCCTGTGGCTCAGCGAGTAGGGTGCCAGCCCCATATAAGGAGGATGGTGAGTTCGAACCTGGCTCCAGCCAAACTGCAACAAAATAATAGCCGGGCATTGTGGTGGGCGCCTGTAGTCCCAGCTACTTGAGAGGCTAAGGCAAGAGAATCGCCTAAGCCCAAGAGCTAAAGGTTGCTGTGAGCTGTGACGCCACGGAATCCTACTGAGGGCAACAAAGTGAGACTCTCTAAAAAAAAAAAAAAAAGAAGAATAAAAAGAAGACAAAAACAATTACTTTTTTTTTTTTT